AAGAAACCCCGTGTGCAAATAGCGACGGCACGATGACAGACACACGTCTGACTTCTTCCGAAAATACTCGTGGTAAAAGAAAGGTGGAAAAATACAACTATTCGCGGTTCTAAAACCGGCGTTCTCGCATTAAGTAATGTCAACGTCACCCTTCGACCCAAATTACCTAGTTAACGTCGGAACGATCCAAAGATATTCGATTTGATAGCCTTATCGCGATATTATTCATGATGCACCGGGATATCTGGGAAATTGTCGTCGAGGCGACGCCATGATCTTGTTATAACGAGTCACCGTGCAAACCGTCGGTACATCACAATCGCTGGATGATAATTTAATGTAACGACGCGCGTTAGTGCGCCGATCGCAAATGAACGGCCGCCGGCGTTCCCGTGTTAACGCGCCTACGAGAACAGCCGTGGGGGCATATTTGACACGGAGCAGTCATGGATCGGCAAATCATCGAATCATCGGCGGTACTCGACAACGTAACAAGTCAACAGGCGGTCGTTATGTATATTGACGTATACTTGCCGCAGTTGCGGCGTCGATGCCTGTTTCTATTGACAAATACCCGTCGCGGGGGCGATGATGCATTGCCGTACACGCGCTATCGGAATGACATGGAATGCGTATTATCGCGACAAAATGAACCAACCTCTAGGAATTCGAATGCCTCGCGTCGATATCGCTCGTGCATCGAAACGCGGCCCGGCTTCGCGTCGCGATTCCATCGGTTCCCAAACAATTTACACGCCGTCTTAAACATACGCGAGATCGTCCGATCCCGATGTAGATTTCGACCAACAGGCACCGGTACCGGCCGTTTTTAATACCGAAAGGATCGACCGTGTCGGTAGCTGTCAGTAACGTCAACCGATAAACGCGTCGACCGATGAGAAACGCCTAATTTTTTCCACCTCTCTGTACTCCTCTCACCCAGGTGTGTATATGTAACGGGGTATGGTGATTGAAATAAATTGCGTCGAATCTGTCAAGGTTTCGGATACGTGGACGAGAGAAAAAGAGACGGGGGAAAAACGAAAGGTCGAAAGAGATTTTCAGGAAGGAAATCGTAAATTGGCGATGACGCGATGAAGACGCTAGCCCCGGCGATGGTATGCGCGACACGGACGCGCGTCGCGTGGAATGAAAAACGAAAATAATAAAAACGTGCGGTCGCGACGAATTGAAGAATCGACGAGGACAATGCAGAGTGGCGTTGAAGTGGCTGTGACGGATGATAGGCGGCACGAGGATCGGTAGATCGCGAAAGTGGCGGAGAAGCAGTCACGATACACAACGTGTAACAATGGAACCAATATCTGTAGAAAGGTGGTGCTCGTAACGTGCACACTCGACGCGCTGGAAACAAATGTCGTACCTATGCGTGACAACCCTTATTGCGGCGAGGGGGTGGTGTGTTTGCGAGCTGCGTGTTTATTGCTCGACCTGGCAATAATAACTGGTTATTATTCATTACTCTGGCGCACCGTGTTCGGAACGCACGAATGTCGCAGTCAACTACACGAC